ATATAAAATAGTATCAAAATAAGCATTTTATTAGTATATTCCCCCCTAAAAGATTAAAAATTCATTGATTACATATCGTGGAATTCATTTTATATTGACAGGGGGTGATAGTAGAGGAATGAAGATTGGAGAGCAGTTTGCAATATAATTCTTTTTAAAACATCGGCTGCTCATGTCACCGTATCCGGTATCATGGTACATTAGCTGAGAAGTGAGAACTGTTCCCCGTTGAGATTATTGGGAGTACACCTCATAATCACGAAATGAGTGGCTATGAATTTAGAGCTGTGGTTTGTTAGTTTTTGACATTCTATTTGTTTAAAAATCGGTCTACAAAGACTGGCAGTCAGCCAGCAGACCCAAGTCACCTAACAACAAACCGGTTTCCGCTAAATTTTTTATAAATCGAATAAATATACGTTTACGTTCAACTTATATTTCATATGCGGTCCTTGTATGCTCATAGGTGCAACTTGCGGGTCTAAACATTTAAGTGTGTACCATGTTCACGATAAGAACCAATAAAAGAACTTTGGTAGGCCCTTCTGATCACATTATAACGTTATAACGTTTAAAAATAAATAAATATCCGTTTACGTTCAACTTCTATCCTGCACCCCCATAACGTTATGAGCTCAGCAGCAGACTGCAGAGTGAGACAACGAGAGAGAATGAATTTCAGTTTTTATGAAAGAAAAAAGTAAATGTAGAAACTAAAACTCGAGTCACTCGACTCTGTCAGACTACCACCTGCGAGTCTGCGACTCTGTGAGGAGTGGTCACTGGATTCTGGAGTCACTGGCCTAATAATGTTCATCCACCCTGCCGGGCCTGCGACCGTTGCGCAATGTGCATTCGGGTTGTTCTGTAAATATATATATATTTATTTCTCGAACTGGTTTCCGTTAACACGTTTATAAAGGGTTTTTAATTTCATATGCGGTCCTTTGTATACTGATAGGTGCAACTTGCGGGTCTTTTAAAGTGTGTATCATGTTCACGATACGAACCAGTCCTGTTAAAGAACCCTTCTGAACACACTATAACCGTTATAACGTTTCAAATTTGAATTTATATGCGTTTACGTTCAACTTCTATCCCGTACATACCCCCATAACATTATGAGCTCAGCCGGTCAGCCCCACAGACCACAGCCACAGGTTATGTATTTTTTTTTTAAATTGAGAATTCGAGATTGCCGATTGAGAGCGAGTCGAGACTGGGAGTTTCTGACTCTGTACTATGTAGTCTGTGAGAGTGAGTGAGACTGGACTCTGGAGTCTGGACTCGGGAGACACTGTACTGAATTATGTATGCATATTATTTAGCCACTGGAATGTCTGAAACTCTCTAGAGAGACAACTACTTTTTTTTACGTGCCTGAGTCAGGGCCGCAGCCGGCAGGGCGCAGGATAGGTTTTGAGACCCTAAAATCAAAACTTTCTCCCAGACATAAATTCTGTGAAATGTGAGTATTTTTGACAAAAAGACAGTGAGAGTCTGAGACCTGAGTTACTATTCACTATTACGTCAAAAACTTTTACATTAAACCGTTTATAATTGAACTAATAACGGTTAACGTTTTACTTTTATATCGTACATACAACAACCGATATTGTTTAGGAGCAGTTTTCTAGGTCAAATATTATGTCCTAAAATTGCTGAATAAAGGAGCAGTTATGAAGTGCAAAATCCACGATTTCGTCCATATAGTATTGAGTTTATAAAAGCTAAACCGTTTAAAAATTGAAAAACTATCGGTTTAAGTTTAACTTTAAATCTACGCTTCGTATAACTTATTGACGGTCTGAGACTGTGTGAGACCGTGAGAGCTGGAGAGAGCGACAGAGTGGCCAACCGGCCATCAACATCAATTCATGGCCCACAGGCCACAGGCCACAGGCCAGTGGCCCTGTCCATGGGCCCATATACTGTGAGTCTACTCTACTCTAGAGACTACTTTGTAACTCTTCTGACTGGATGTCGGATGACAGTGAAGAGTGACAACTGTTGGACATTGGCTATTGGGGCGATCGAGAAACATCTTGACTCACTGTTGAGTCAAAGACACCTAACATTTTTTTGTACATACAGCCAAGCTGGCCTGTAGACTGCAGCTGCCAAAAGGCTAAGGGCATATCTGTTTTCGATTTTCGGACCGGTTGTTTGTGAAGATATGGGACTAAATTACGGCCCCCTGGACCAGGTCATCAACACGGCCCTCTGGACCAGGTCATCATCAGGGTCTCGCACAATATACGATTTCCGCTAAATATGTACGAGTCTATGTCTCTACGCCGCGTAGGCGGCGTAGCCTTCTATTTTTTTTTAATAAAATAACTAGACAGCCTCGAGAGTATTTATTGACCCTTTTTTAAATTCTAGAGAGGTCCGTGAATATTTAAAAACAAATTGTTTTGTGACTTTTATTATTGATATTTTATTGTAAAAAAAAATCAACAAGTACTCTATCGCTAAATATACATATTTAGCTATATAAATACCTCTCAATTTTTTAGAAGGCTATGCTATTGCGAATTCGTGACCAGAGCCCTCTCGATTGAAATTGAAACTATTTATTTAAATATGTCGCGCTGTCGCCTAGCGCTCCCTTCGCCCCCCCAGAGGCCCAGACCTTGTTTTTGAAACAACAAACAACTAGACCTTGAGTATGCACCAATGAAAAGGCTTAATGTATTCCTAAGAGATTAACGACAAGACATTTTCAGACAGAGGCCCAGAGTCCCAACAGGCTAATAATAGAAATAAATGACTTCCAGTCCCAGTTTTTACCTCATATTCTCACTGGTATTTATTTACAAAAGTTACTGGTTAGAATATGACTCGCTATACGCGCACATATAGTCCCCAATTAACCATTAAAGTAGTACGCTATAATGCTTGTATGTTTAACGCTTACGTGTGGCTCTAGGTTGAGTTTGACCCAGTTCTGGTACAAACTGAAATTCTTCATAATTTTTGAATCAATGGTCCGATTGGGATGAGATTGAGCATACGTTCATTATTCGTCAAAACGATGAAGATAAGCAATCTATATGCCAATGAGATTGAATTTTTAAGATACAGCTGGATCAAACTCTAATCCTATATAGTAACTCCCCCCCGTCTCCGTCCAATATTTTATGTTGTCCGGGCCTATTGTCCAAGACTCCAAGGTGACTCCTACTTAAGTCCTAAAACACAGTCAGATCCGCCCACCACGTGATTCTGTGCCCCCCAAAAATAAGGTATTGGGCCAAAATAAAAAAGTAAAAGTTTATACTTTTTTTTAAAACAAATAATATATAATATATGTATTTTTTTTCTCTTTTTCAATATGATAAAAAATTTATCTGCTGTTGATAGCGTTTCTTTATTTTACTTTTTATTTCTGTTTGTATATTTCGTTTTAGAAAATAAGAAAATAGCATAACGATATGAGATTTGCTCTGTAGTATAATAAATAGACTTCACACAGCCACTCTCACAGTCTCACGCTCACAGTATATGACATCATGTATTTTACTTGAGACACGCACACGACTCTCTCAGACGACTCAGAGTCTCAGTCCTCGACTCCTCTAAGAGGCTCAGACTCTCTGTCTCTCGTCTGACGTGACCATCTCTCATACTTTTCTTACACACTCTCTCTTTCTCTTCTAAATAGAGTAAATACAGAGCTGAGTTCATAGTACTAATAATATTTGTAAAAAATATACTCTCTACTCTCTCTACAGAGTAGTAGAGATTTATCAATGACAGAGTCAATGACTCAATATCATCAGGTCAAGAAAGAAGAAATACATTTAAATAGAAATATGGATGGGTAGAACTGTTTTATTTATAAATAGACTGTAGGGTGTAGACTGTAGACTTCTTGTAGTGTAGAACTTTAGAGTGTAGACTGGAATGTAATAAATAGACTGTAAATAGACTGTAAATACTAAATAGCCTGTTGTACTATGTATTTAATGTACATTGAAATACATATTGTTTTTTATTTTTAAATAAAATACATAAATACTGCCATAGCCTCTCTAGTAGTAGAGTAGTATTTAGGCTATGGTATATACTGTAATCAAGTGTAGCTTTTTGGTTTTATTAAAAAAAAACGAAAACCGATTTTTTTAGTTTGTTTTAATAAAAAGAGGCTTCACAACAAGTTCGGGGCACGAGTGGTCGACTGGTCGGGCACTCGGGCGGCGGGCGCATGGTCGGTCGGTCGGTCGGTCGGTCGCACGCCTAATAATGTCCGCACTCCGAGTCCTGTCTCACTAGAACAAAGGGGGCAAGAGGCCAACCGGCCAACTGGCCAAGCCGCCAACAACAGCAACTCAACAAGAAGTCAACAACAAAAAAAGGGCGACCGGCCGACCACCTGAGTAGGAATCTCTGGGAGAGGAAAACTACTCCACTATGAATTGAAAGAAACTAATGTTATAACAGAGTATATAAAAATAGAGTCCAGAGTACAGACTGCAGAGTACAACAAATGTAAATGAACATTGAACTTCAGACCTAATTTAGTTTGGAGTTTGGAGTTTGGACAGACTACTTACTTCTATGTATGCTAGCTGCTATTTACATAGTAAATACATAGTAGTAGTACATTCTACACGCACAGAGTCACAGACCACAGTATATTGCTCTTTTTTAATTTTTAGTAAATAAATACAAATAAATATCTTCATTTTTAGTCTGTTCAATGTACTTTGCGGGCTGCACTTCATGTGCAGTCTAACCGGCTGACTCCCCCCCCCCCGCAGCAGAGCAGAGAGCCAGAGACTGATAGTCTGATAGTGAATATAAATAATCAGAGTTCAGACGAGTCTCAGAGAGGGAGGATTCGATTCCTCATTCCACTTCGAATCGCGATTCTCAGTTTCTCACCAAGCACTGTACCATGGCCCGAGTGCGTGGCTGTGTACGCGCGTGCAAACCAATTTTTACATAAAATATATAAATATATAAATGTCAAATACAAACGGAGGTATTCCATAAAATCTAAATGATACCTATAGTATGCTAACACAAGATCGACAACGTACTCTGTGTACACACGATTGATAACATACTACGTATTATCTAATTGTTTTTTGAATTCATCGGCGGTCAAATATATATGTATTTATGCCCCATCATGCCATTTTCCATTCGCAACCAGCAACAGGCAACTTTGGATGCTCTGTATGCTTGGATCTTGGAGGAGGATGAGGCTGTGGATATGTCAGCAATGGCTGAACATTTGGAGATGGTGAAGGAGACAAACGAACGAAATCTCAGCAATGATCAGACAAGCAATCGCAGTAAACTGAGTAATGCAAGTAGGATGAATTCTGCAAACTCGATACCGGCTCCCATGAATATACACGACGAGAAAGAGGAACATTCAAGGACGGTTTCGGGTATCGACTGGTCGTTGCCGGCTGTCAAGAATACAACCGTGACAGCTACCAGATACGGACAATACAAAAAGTATCCGACAAGCCCCACGAATGACAAAATTAATAATCAGACAGGTGATCGCAGTCGACCGAGTAATACAAGTAAGTGGAATTGTACAAACTCGACACCGTCTCCTAGCAATATACAGGTCGACAAGAAGGAATATTCGAGAACGGATTCGGGGATCGAGTGGTCGCTGCCGGCTGTCGAGAACAAAACTGCGACACCTATTAGATACGGGCTATGTAAGAAGTACCCGGCAAGCCCCACGAATGGCAGAATTGATGATCTAGCGACCAATAGTAAGCTGTATCGTCGAGTGTCTTCTATGCAAATGCCTATATCCGTAACTGCCCGCACCTTATGTAGGCGTGCCAGAAGTTCAGACGTGAAAATAAGTCCCAAGAGCGACGCCGGTGGAATACTACGAATGAACTGCAATGATATCACGCCGATGCGGAACAAGAAATCGGCAAATAGTCCGACAAGTGCTGCTAACTTTGGAGACTCAACAGGCAGAAGTTTGCTGTGTCATCGACAGCCCGCTTACCCCCTAGCAAGCCCCGCAGACTTTAACCCGATGCGACCCGCTAGTTTATCAGAAATGAGAAGCTCTGCTGACAAAAAGGTCACTGTATCCCAGGAAATTAGCGCTCACCACAAAGATGGCAAGTCTGGCTTTCTACGGCAATTTAGTATGCCAGGGCTGCGACGGGGCGGTGCTCCAGGGAAGCACACCAAATCGTTTCGCATTTTGGAGGTGGAAAAGGGTGCTCCAGGTAAGCACACCAAACCGTCTCGCATTGTGGAGGCAGAAAAGGCCCCGAGCTTTGCTGGCATGGATAGACAAATAGTAATGATAAAGAGGACGAATTCAATCGAGTCAAGCTCGCCGGATATTTTTGAGTTCGGTGCGGATTTTGATAGTCCTCTGGCAGCAGTTGCGGTTGATTGTTTAGTAGACGGCGTAAGGGTAAATACACGCGCAAGTAAACTCGTAGGCAAAGCTATACATAACATGGAGAATGAGCGACGAATGTTTAATAGAGCATATTCATAGACATCATCAATGGGATAAAACGCTCTAAGCAGAATTTAAAAATTTGGCTTTTTGTACGCATTAAAAACGATGCTTTCAGAACGCGCAAATGACCTCTCCTTTTAACTTTTGACGTTGTTCTGGAGACTATGTAGCCCATAGCCTCCTAAATTGTACAGAAGCCTATGTTGAGCGAACCCTGCGAAACCATAGCCTTCTAAAATAAACAGCCAAACCCAACAATTTTTATGTACATGATTTTTTACAAGAAATTTATGTATTTACAGTTGTACTCTCAGTATGACTATGTACAGTACATATGTACACTGTATTTTTTTAAATTTTAAAATATTTTGTTGTTTCTGTATGATTTTAAAATTTTGAACTAAAAATACAATGCAATATTTATGTAAGATATTTATGTGACAAACTTGGCCTCTCTACACGGTCTATAGAGAGAGAGAGAGAGAGAGAGAGAGAGCTATTAGTAATATAGGCTTTTATGAAATATTATTATTAGCGTTACACAGCCGATAGCGGGTGAAGTACAAAATCTATGTAGTCGAATTACACATGTGTAAACCACAACATACGACTCTCATACACTATCGATATAAACTATTAAACAAGTCCAACAACAACAAGGTACCTTTCCAGAACGACGACCAACGTTACATCGCAGTAGTCAGCGAAGATGAAAGACGGAAAGTACTTCACCACCACCAAAAAAGGCAAGCCTCATAACCCTCAACCTGTCTTCTTTCTTCCCACCAGTCTCAGAATATTTTATAGAAACAGAAAGCTGTAAAGCGCACAGCAAATGATTCGAACAAGATCTATCTGTATTTCTAGACATATGCTGGTTATAGATTTCTCGTTTGAATACATCTATCATATTACAATCAAGTGCAGTAAATATTAGCACACCGGTCCAACTACATGCAGGGTTGTTTCAACGTATTTCTAACTTGCCCTGTAGACGCTATACGTTATATCTATAGAGCAGTGTGTACGTGTATGGGCTACACACATCACACAAACACAAATGACATCATACACGAACGCGC